TGCCGCTTCCTTCCGGGGCGTGAGGGGAAAGGAGGAGAGAGAGTGCGCACCGCGAGTCTTTTTTTCTGTTGACGTGATGCACCGCGTGTGACCGTACTGAGTGGGGCGCCGCGTCATGAATGGATAAGGATCCGCCTGCGCGTGTGGCTCTTTGGGCGATTGCTGGCTCTGTGAGCGTTGTGTGTTGTCTGCAGGGCCGTGGCCGTATCCTGTTCGCAGCGGGATTCAACTGGAGGCGGAGGCGGTGTGTCTCCTTTTCTCGTCCATTGTGGTTGAATGCGGGCGGTGTGTGCGTTTGTTGTGTGGAGGACCGAATCCTCTCACCCGCGTACTGACGGCACTGCGATGGTGTGTGTGTGTGTGTGTGTGTATGAGGGCGATGGTGCTCCGCGCTGTTCCTTCCGGATTGTCTTGTGTCCCGCTCTCCGCATGGGTGCTCTGCTCTGCTCCCCACGGACGTGTCTGATGTATTGCCGCTTTTTTCTTCCTTCACTTGTTGAACACAGACACACGCTAGGAAGGAAAGCAAACAAACGCGAAACGCTACTGTGAGATTCGAAGGCACTGAAAGCGCCAACAACAGCACACACACACATTTTTATATGCTCTCACGTGTTGCTGCAGATAAGGCACCCAACAAACACAACCGTCGCCGCGTGACCGGATCCAGCGGAAGGAGGAGGGAAGGAAGAGAGGGTGAGCAGCAGAGACCCAACATGTCCCGGCATGTGTTTACTTCCGCTGTGCTACTCCTCGTCGTCGTGACAATGTGCTGTGGAACCTGTGGAGCTGCGGCCGCTGGAGGGAATAATGGGAAGAGTGATTTAATAAATATTCATAAGCTGCGGGGAGTCGATCTATTTGTGCCGCAGACGACGCTGGTGCTGCCGAAAGAGGGGAGTGCTGCAGGTACGCCGAGGGATTCATTTGTTACACCCTCTCTCGTCAGTGCTGGTGGAGTAATTGCTGCTTTCGCCGAAGGTCAGACGAACGCCCAAAAAGACGGTGCTCAATCAATTACGCACCTTTACTCTGACGTTGTTGCGGGGTACATTGATTCTAAGTGGAATTGGTCCACTCTTGTTGCTGAGATCAATAAAAGTACATGGAAGGCACACACCGTGCTTACTGCAGCGGATGGACAGAAACGTTTGGATGTTATGCTTAACCCCACAACAATCGCGAAGGGCGACAAGGTGTTTCTTCTTTCGGAAAGCTCTCTTTGGTTCAATTTAAGCGGAAAAATGTTTTGGGACAGATTGGACCTTAAACTGGTTGTGGGTACTGTCACGAATTCTACGGGCGGCGAGCCGAGTAAACGGATCAGCTGGGACAACCCCAAATCGCTGTTAAGCGTGAATACTTCTGCTGCTTCTCACGAAAGTAAATTTGAGAGTTTTTTTCCTTCTGGTGGCTCAGGTGTTCTGATGGACAATGGCACGCTTGTGTTTCCCGTGGTTGCGTTTAGTGAAGAAAATGACGGTCACTCCATGATCATTTATTCGACGGACGACGGCGCAAACTGGATGCTTTCGAATGGAACGTCTCCTGCGAAATGCGAAACCCCCCGCGTCACCGAATGGGAGGGATCACTTCTCATGATTGTTGATTGCGAGAACGGCCAGAGGGTGTACGGGTCGCGTGACATGGGGACAACGTGGACGGGGACCATCGGGACACTCCCAGGCGTGTGGACCAAGTCAAAATCGACAGCCATTTTGGATCTGAGCTTTCATGTGGATGCCCTCATCACCGCGACCATTGAGGGCAGGAAGGTCATGCTGTACACTCAGCGAGGGAACGCCTCGGGGAATGAAACGGAAGGAGCGCTCTATCTTTGGGTCACGGACAACATCCGCTCGTTTTGTGTTGGGCCGGTTGCCATGAGGGATGGTATGAATTGGTTGTTCACCAGCAACCTGCAGTACTCGGATGGTAATTTGCATCTTTTACAACAGAGGGAAAAAGATAAAGGCAGTGCCTTGTCGCTTTCTCGACTGACGGAGGAACTGAGTACAATCAAGTCCGTCCTCAGTACTTGGGCGCAAAAGGACGCCTTCTTCTCCAAATTGACCATACCCACGGCGGGTCTGGTGGCAGTTTTGTCCGGTGCGGCCAGCAATGGCACGTGGATCGACGAGTACCTTTGCCTGAATGCGACGGTGACGCCTAATGCAAAGAAGGTCAGATATGGATTTCAATTGACGGAGCCTAGCTCCAGGGTATCATGGTCCGTGAACACTCAGGCCAATAATGTGCGTCATGTATCCTTGAGCCACAACTTCACACTTGTGGCGTTGGTGACCATCGAAGAGACTCCGAGTGGGAACACTCCTCTACTGACTGCGACGTTGGCGGACACTAATTCCAATCATACCATGGGACTGTCGTATACGGCGGATAAGACGTGGGGGACGGGGCTCAAAGGCAATAAAACAACACAGAGCGGCCGTTGGGAGCCGAAGAAGGGATACCGAGTGGCACTCATGCTGCAAGGCAAAAAGGCCTCTGTGTACATTAATGGTAATTCGCTGGGGGAGGAAGAAGTGCCGTTAAAAGGTGAGGCGCCACTTGAGCTTGTACGCTTTTGCTTTGGCGCGTGCGGTGAGGATGCCGGCCAGAAAACTAAGGTGACGGTGACGAACGTGTTTCTGTACAACCGCCCACTGAATTCCACTGAGATAAATGCACTCAAGGACAAGGCCCACACTTTGAATGGCCCAGGGGAGGCACTGGCGGGGTGGGCAGCTCTGGAGGGAGCTGCCGCCAGAGAACATGCGGCTGTGGTGGGCTTGACGTCTGCTGGGAGCGGACTGCTGCCGCTGCTTCTTCTGCTGGGACTGTGGGGCTTTGCGGCTGCGTGAGGAGTGTGCGGCCTCAGTGGGGAACACTTGCGCTCTCCTCTGCAGCGACAAACACACACCGCTAGGAATATATTTTACTACGCAGAGAATAATTTCTTTTTTTTTAATTACTTTTCTTCCCTTTTGCTTGATGATTTAGGGCAATCACTATGGACTTTTTTCTTTTCTACTCTTCCCTCTTTTTAATTGCTTCTTGCTGCACTCTTCCTGTGAGGGGTGCCGTGTGTTTCCGCCCAACTGCTCCACTCGCACACCCACCGACACGCTCATGACGACGGCCCTGTGCGCCTCGCCTGCTGCACGCATGAGGAGGGGCCGCGACGAACGACGCGCTGAGGGAGCCGTGACGTGTGGGCGTGCGGCGAGGGCCTGTGGGGCGGAGCACACATTTCTTCCCCTTTTGTTTTGTTTTTAGCGGTCAGGGCTGGCAGACACCCGTAGCGCCACACACACAGCCACACCCTGCCGCCGTGTTTTTTTTTTTCTCTTTTCTTTTTTTTTTTTGCTGCGCTCACACTTCCGATGGAGAGACGCGACTGCCGTCATGTCTGCGTGCTTCTCTCAGTCCCCACAAACACACGAGTGACTGTGCTCTGCAGGCCGCACTCACGCGCCGATGAAAGGGCTGAGGGGAGCAGCAACGCGCAGATGACTCCATGAAATATAAACGATGTGCGGACACATGGAGGGTCAGACGGTTGAAAGACATGTAATTATTTAATTTTCTTTTTGGGCAAAATAAAAAAAAAAACTTGGTATGGCCACACGGTAACCAGCCGCTTTTTTTTTTTTTTTGTGTGTGTGTGTGGAACAGTAATAGAGGACGACTTTTTCTTTTTTATTTTTATTTGTGTGGAACAGTAATAGAGGACGACTTTTTCTTTTTTATTTTTATTTGTGTGGAACAGTAATAGAGGAAGACTTTCTTTTTTTTTTTTTTTTTTGTGCGTGGGGTTAAAATGTGAGGAACGGGAATTTTTTTGTTTTGTTTTTAAATGAATGTTGTTTGATTTGTTATTGCTTTCCGCCGTGGACCCCTGCTGTGCATTTGTGTTTGTGCGTCCCTTCAGATGCTTTACGCCTCTTCTCTTTTTTCGCCTTCCTTTTTTCCTACTTTGTTGAGCGTGGCAGTGGGCGCACACAGCCACACGCGCAGGACAAACACATTGCAGTGCAGGTGGATGCTTCCTTTGTACTCGGTGCTGGCAGTTGCGTGCAGCTGCCGCTTCCTTCCGGGGCGTGAGGGGAAAGGAGGAGAGAGAGTGCGCACCGCGAGTCTTTTTTTCTGTTGACGTGATGCACCGCGTGTGACCGTACTGAGTGGGGCGCCGCGTCATGAATGGATAAGGATCCGCCTGCGCGTGTGGCTCTTTGGGCGATTGCTGGCTCTGTGAGCGTTGTGTGTTGTCTGCAGGGCCGTGGCCGTATCCTGTTCGCAGCGGGATTCAACTGGAGGCGGAGGCGGTGTGTCTCCTTTTCTCGTCCATTGTGGTTGAATGCGGGCGGTGTGTGCGTTTGTTGTGTGGAGGACCGAATCCTCTCACCCGCGTACTGACGGCACTGCGATGGTGTGTGTGTGTGCTTTGTCAACGTGACCTTCACTGCCGCGATCGTGCTGGACCTGTGGAGCTTCGACGCGCCACAACAGACACTCAACATCACGCTGCTGCAGTGCGTCCTCATGGGCCTGTCGATCAGGGGGAGTGGTGTGCGCGTGCACGTGAGCGTGGTCTCCTCGATTTTGGATGCTGGTGATTTGGAGTTTAGGGGTGATTTTGGCTCGAGCTCCCAGATACTGGTGGCGGGCAGTAAGCTTGTGATGACGTCTGGCCACACCATTCAATTCCAGAGGTTTTCTCTTGGTGCGAATTTGACGCTGCTGCTGCTGCTGCTGCTTGACAACAGCATCGAGGGGAGTAGGTACGCAGTTTATTTCTCCGATGCTGTTGTTGTTGATGGTGGCGGGATCCTTATAAAGGGAAATACGCTGATCACAACGGACGAAGATGAGGGTGTGGAATCATCTGTTTGCTTTTACGCTGTGGAAGTGAATAATGGCGGCTACCTTTTTGTGGAGAACAACACGATGAACGCGGCTAATGGTGTTTTTGTTTTTGGTGATACTTCCGTGAGCTCCGCTGGGCTGCTGCGAGTGGCGGACTGCGACTTTGTTGGCCGAACGAAGGTTTCGTATTCCGCCCTTTTGTACTTGGACGGATCGGTGACACTTGAGGGTGGTGCACAATGGCGTGTGGAGGGCAACGTCGTGGGCGCAGTTTCAGTATTAACTATTCCGTATTCCTGGCACAAAATTAAACTGTCGGGCAGCGGCACCGCCGTGGTGCTTGCAAACAACCGTCAGGTGGACGATAGCTGTCCTTTTGCTGATCTGGCTCTGCCGAACATGATTGTGGTTTCACCCGCGCGGTTTGTGGTTGGGTGCAACCTGCAGGGCGATGAGGAGGTGTTGTATGACGGTTTGTTTCCTGGGGAAGTGGTGGTGTTCAGATGCGGCACATGCAACGACAACGCGGCGTGCTACATGCCCGGGACGGAGTCGGTGAACCGCGGCTCGTGCTCGTGCAGCTGCAAGGACGGATGGCGTGGCGCGTCGTGTCTTCCCTTCGAGGTGCCCGACACTGTTGTGCCGCCCGTAGCGGAGAGAGCCGTCGACGGCGACACGAGCTGCGTGGTGAACCAGACGCTGACGAACCTCACGCTGAACATGTGGAAGACGCACCACTGCTACGTGGGCGTGACATTCAACGGCGTGGGTGCTGTGCTGAAGTTTTTTTTCAACGGTATGCCGCTGCATCTCCCCATCAACATCACGCTCAGTGGGTGCACGTTCCTTTACGGGGCTGTGCTGCAGTTTGTTGGGGGAGCTGAGGCGGCCGAGTCATCCGGCGTCCTGATCCGCGTGAGCCAGACGGTGATGCGGCGGTCCTCTGTTGTTGTGTTTGCACTCGCCCTCCCGCAGCACTGCGACATTGCCGTCACGGAGGTTGACGCGGTGCAGTTCTCCGTGGTCCAGTTGCTGGAATCTGTGAACAACATGTGGAGCGTTATGATGCTGCGGAACGTCGTGTTGAGTGCGTCCTCGTTGTTGGTGAGCAACGTCAAAGCGCGTGCATTTGGTTACGGTGGGTTCGGTTTGTACTCGACCGGGACGCTGACGCTGGTGAGTGGCGGCTCGCTGTACGTGCGGTACTGCAGCCTTGATGGGTACGAACACCTGTTCTACGTGCACGGGCTCAGTGTCCGCGACTACTCCGTTTTTGCACTGCTCAACAATACAATGTTCTCCGGGACAAGCTTCTTGTATCAGAAGCAAAACTTCAGCGTGTCGGATCACAGCGTGTTGCGCGTGGTGGGGAGCAGTGGTTCCGTTTCCAACGCCATCTGTGCATATAATTTGTGGATTGTTGAGCAGTCAAGCTGGCTGGATTGGCGCGACAACGACGTGGGAGTGGGTGCGATGTTCCGTTACTCCCTAATAACTGCTTTTATCATTGACGGCAGCAGTGTGACGACGCTGACGGGCTGCAAGATGGGCTTGACGGGGTTGTCGGGACCTCTGCTATCTCGAGCCGACGCCGGCTACCGGTTCGTTTCTGGGTGCCTGACGGTCGCGGGACGTGTGCTGACGACGGCGGCTGAACTGGAGCTGAACGGCATTACCAACGTGACGATGGTTGCCGCGTGCGGGGAGTGCACGAAGGAGGGAGACTGCTTTGCCCCGCTGACGACGGCGGTCAGCGACTGCAAGTGCCAGTGCGCTGCTGGAGGGCACGGCGATTTGTGCGTCCCGGCGCCTGTGCCTGCTGGCCCACTGTCACCGCCGCCACCACCGCCACCGCCACCGCCACCACGCACACCGCCACCGCCGCCGTTTGGTGAGTGCATCAGCGACATGGTGTACCCCGAGGTGGCGCAGGCTGTGGGCAGCGGGCTGTCGTGGCTGTGCTACCGCAACGTGACGTTCAGCGGGGGCGGCATGAGCCTGACGGTGCTGATTGGGGCGATGACGGGCGAAGTGGTGAATGTCACGTTTGATGGATGCACGTGGAGGGACGGTGCCGTGCTGGTGCTGTTGGGCAACGCGTACGCCGCTGTGGGGTCGCTGAACATCGTTGTCACCGGCAACAGGTTTCATGACGCGCTGCTCAGCCCGGAGGGTGGGTTTCCACCGCACACGAACATCACAATCAGCGGGAACCGCTTCACGGTCACGAGGCTGATCCCTCGATTTTGTTTGGGCGTTAGGAGGCCTTCGTGCGTTGCGATGAATGGACTGGCGGTCAGCAACGACTCCGCGGTGGTGCTGAGCGGCAATGTGTTTCAGACCGTGACAGCATCGTCGAGCGCCATTTACGTCGTTGGATCTTCGCTGAGGGTGTCGTGGCACTCCGTGTTTGCGGTGGTGGGCAACACGTTTCATATGGCCAGCGCTAACGGTACGCTGATATATATTGGAGGCTCTAGACATTCTTTGTCGCTGAGTGTACTGAACAACTCTGCCGTGGTGATCCGAGGCAACGTTGTGACGAGGCCGGTGAAGTACTTTATTGTATTCCTTTGGTCCTTACGTGTGGAGTCCCAGTGCGCGGTTGTGTTTCAGGGCAACGACATGCAGGGAAGCTTGGTTGTGTTTTACTCAGTTTTTTCTTCCTACATTTTCTACAACTTCTGGCTGCAGTTGAGCGGCAACCTCTGCCGCGTATCCCCATCGGAAGGCTTTACTGTTTTTAACCCCACGGTGAATCTCCGCGACTCCACGGTGTCTGTGTCTGGCAACCGATTCATGTCCAGCACAGTCTCGCCAACAGTGCTGCTGATACCCAAAAGTTCCCGCGATCTCACAAACGGAGCGATTGTTGCTGCGTGCAACACTGTGAACGGCGGGGAGGAGGCGAACTACGTTATTCCTTTCGTGTACAATGCCACCATTTTGACCTGCAGCGACCCATGCGCCCTCGCGGCGTCGTGCTTTCCTGCTTACACATCGACGGCCTCGAGTGATGGCTGCGCCTGCACGTGCGCTGAGGGGGGCCACGGCGATGCGTGTCTGCCCGTTGCTGTTCCCGAGCCACCGAGCACCGACGGCGCCGAATTGTGCGTGCAGGACGTGCGTGTGGGTGTGGAGGTGAGCGCGGGTCTTGGGACGTCGGTGGCGTGCTACGTTGGTGTGACCTTTGCGGCGGACGTCGTGGTGGACGTGGGCTTGATGTCAGGGAGCGTGCGCAACGTGACGCTGGCGAACTGCACTTTTTTGGACGGAGCGAGCCTGTACGTTGTTGGGTGGCTGTCCGACCCGACTGCTGGACAGCGCGCCGATGTGTTGATCAGCGGACTTGAGTCGCGCTCTGGCGGCGGCGTGGTGGTGGCTAACCGATTTCCGCCGGGCTCGCGCGTCACCGTGGTGGACTCGGTGCTGATTGCAGAGAAGCGCGTTGCGTACCGCGGCGTCTACGACCTTGGCGACGCGTCCGCGTGCCTCGTGGTGCACAACGTGAATCTGACTGGGAGCGTGCTGACCATCGCGCGCACGCAGGTGGCGGCGGTGTTCCGCGACGCTGTTGGCGTGTTGGTGGTTGGCGGCGTGGCGCTGTCGTCGTGCGGTGCGCTGTACGTGGACGGGCTGTCGGTGCAGACGGCGCTGGGGCTGTGCGTGTCGGTGGAGGGCGGTGTTGCTGCCAGCGGCGGCTCCGTGGTGGCGTTTGTTGACAGCGACTTCCTGCTGTGCGAGCACGCGGTGTCTGTGCGTGGGGCTGTCAGCGTGTCGGGCTCCGCTGTGGCGCTTGTGCGGAGCGACTTTTTGACGACGGAGAACTACGCGGTGGCGTTTTATTCGGCGGTGAGCCTGGCCGGCGGGTCGATGCTGCTGGTGAAGGGCAACGTGCACGACGGCGTCTTGAGGGAGATGCTCTACGCCGCTGGCGCCGTGACCGCTGCTGGGAGCACGCTGAGCTTTGTGCGCAACCGAGCGCTGCTGCCGCGGATGCTGACGGTGAGCCTGTCGCTTGCGGCTGGGGCGCATTTGAGGGTGGCGTGCAACGACGCTGGTGGACGTGTCCTGTCGACGGCGGAGGAGTACGCTGCGGCTGGTTTTGGCGACGCTGGGCGCACCGACGTTGCCGGGCGCGACGCCTGCGACAGGGACATTTACTGCTACGCTCCCGAAACGGCGTCTGCGAGCATGAAGGACGGTGTGTGCGTGTGCGCGTGCGGCAGCGGCGGGTACGGCGAGGCGTGCGTGCCTGTGGGAGCTCCCGCGCTGCCGCCTGCTGTGGGCACTGCGTCGAGTGCGTTTGTCCGCGAGGGCGTGACGGTGCGGTCGGTGTTCGTTGTGCCTGCCGGCGCGAGCGAGGTGACGCTGCGCCACGTTGTGCTGGACGGCGTGAGTCCGGTGCTGTACGTGCCGTGGATGGCGCGAGAGGGCGTGCGGGAGGACGGTGTGGATGCATGTTGGGGAGCGCTCGGCGAATTGACCTGATCGGGCGAGGCGCGGCCTGTCTCCATTGGGGGGCGGTGAAAAAAGGAGAAAAAAAAAAAAGAAAAGCGACGGGTGTGGCGAGGCACGCGTCTGCACACAAGCAAAATGAACATTCGCGCAGAAACCAATAGGTAAAATGTCAAAAAATGGTCTTCATTCCGCTTCTCGCTCCATCTCGTTCCTCGCGTTTGCGTCTTTTTCCATTCCTCTTTTCCTGCGCAGACCGTCTTGTTTCTCTCTCTCTCTCTTTTTTTTGTTCTTGGCTTTCTTTTGGCTTCTCTCGTTCTTTCCTTTCCTCTCTTCATCCCGGCTCCCCACGACTGTCCGCCATCACTCTTCGCTTTTGCTCCGCTTTGCCGTTCTGTTGCCCCTTTTCGTCGATCGATACTCATTTTCGCTGCGGCTCAGGGGTGCCTTCTTCACAACATTTGCGCACTGCGGGACGAAGCCCCTCGGCACCTTCCTTTCAAGGTTCGGCATGCGCCTGGGCTCATTGGCGCGCCTTTTCGCATCCGGGTCGCTGCGGACACGCTGCTCCTGCTTCTTTCGCTCCTCAATCTCGCGTCGGCGGTTGCTTCCCGACGGTGTTAAAAAATCCGGCAGTGCGGCGCCCTCCGTCGAGCCACGAAAAAGTGGCGCAAGAGAGCTTTCAACATTCAGCGCCCTTTCGCGACGATCCGGGATGGCCTCCAGCGTGTGGAGCGGCAACGGTCGACTTACGGGGACGCGGTAGCGGGACACCGGCCCACAACTCGGGCCATGCGCGACTTTCTTGGCGTATGGATCGTTTCGCATCATCTCGTGCGCCGGCGGATGCTTGCCGTGGGCGGCACCTTCGCGCGCCGGCTTCTCCGGCATTGGCAGGAGAAATCGCCGGGGGATCGCCGTCATAAGTGTTTCCTCCCCCGTGTGTCCCGCGGCGCTCCCGGATGACACCGTTTCAGCACTCATTTCCTTAAAATTTTCCTTGTGCGAACTCACCGTGTCTTGTCGCCTCTCTCTTTGCTTTCCTGAAGATTGGCGTGTCCAATGCGGCGGCTCTTCGATGTCTATGCTATTCCTTAGAATGTGTTTTGCTTTTGCGCGATGTGGGCGACTCGCGTTTCAGCATTCACACCAAATGGAGGTGAAAACAATGCAGGAAAGAAAAACCATGAGTCCCAGAGAAAGGAAGCAACATCAACAAGATAGCGGAAAACTTCAAGCAAGCATTTCTAACCCGAGAGAATTGCAGCAAAGCTCCCAGAAGAGGTCCCGCGTTATGTCGCTAGTGCGCATTCATCTCGCTCGCAAAACAACAACACCAAAAGGCGGCTCTTATTTTCTTTTTCTTTTTTTTTTGTTTTATGGGGGGCTTTCTCCCTTCTCACAGATGCGCACACTTGGATCCTCCATTGCTACTGTGTATTCCATTCGCAAAGCTTGTAACAATCAAGACACATCTTCGACTCGCTATCGCTGCAGACAGCACAATTATTGCACAGGGTGGTTCCGCATCTAACACATTGCCCCCGTGAAGAGAAAAAACCGAGATTCTTGCGACAATGAGAACATATCCGGGAATTTCCCTTCCCTAAAGAGGCGCTCGCAACGGCTACCGCTGGACGCCCGACGCAGAGGTTTTGCAACCGTCGCCGCATGTCTGGCAACTCTCTCCTGCGTGCCGCACACGAATCCCCCACAAACCGATCAAAATATCGTTCCCACTCCGGATTAAAAGAAACTTTTTTCGTCATCTGCTGCGGCCCGTCACGAAAATCTATGGAGTAGTTGTCCCCATCGTGCCGCAGGTAAAAAGATTCCCAAAAGACAAGACGTTTGCTGCTGCAGTTGGGTGAGATGCGCTGAATACCACTCCCTTTTTGTTTTGATATGTACTCCCATGCCGTCGCAGAGTCGTAGTTCTCATTGACAAAGTACAGAGACGAATGCCCTGCGCGTTCCTTTGCCGCGGCACGCACCACATCCGTCCATATGGATGCCGTGCCCAGACGTACCCCCTCAAACATCCGCTCCTTCTCCCCGTTGCAGAGAAATGTTCCGTGCAGGCAGGCGTACACCTCCTCACTGAGGTACTCCAGTAGCCGCGTGGTGAACTCAAAGTGCCGTGGAAATTGACGCACCAACTGAAACACCACGTCCATCCATTGCAAAAAGATGGGAGAAGGCTGCAACTTTGTGTTCGATTGCTGCGCCTCCGTGTCGGATCCGGAAACACCCGCATCGGAGGTGTAGCTGGTTTCTCCCTGCACCTGATGGCCACACCGTTCGGCAAACTTGTGGCCAAATGAGCAAAATTCTTTTTCTACTAGTACACTAAAACCGACGATGGTCCGATAGAATGGGTCCAACAGCAACATTGCGGTGGCGGTGCATTGCGGTGTGCGATCCCATCCATCGGTACAGTGCACGAGGCAGGAGTCCCCAAGGTCCAGGGAATCCGCAATCTTGTTGGAGCAAATTAACAACCTTTGAATGTGATAGAGCCATCCTGTCTCGTGAAGCTGCGAAAGAAATTCTCCTTCGGTGCTTTCCGTGAACCGATG